TGAATATCTGCAAAATACTTTCAATTGTAGAAAAATGAGAAGGCTAAAGTGCTTTTTATTTTACTACATTGTCTCCTTTGCATTTTAGCAATTCTGAACTCTGGTGTTTAAAATTATTGAAACATGACTAAAATAAATGTTTTAGTCCACTGTTTCTACATATTAATATATTTGCATTTCAGCAATGTTAGATGCATATGGTCTCTTCTATCTGGGTTGAAATACATAAGTCATAACTGTCTTTATCAGTCTACGAAATAGTCAACAAACCTTTCCAGATTTATTACTGTCATTCAAAAAACACATATATGATTTCAATAAACTAACAAGTCCTTAGGAAAACTGCAATTTGATGGTGTAGAAATGAGATGAACTCATAGAACCATAGGTGAGTGTGGCTTTGGTGGTAAGTGAATGGACACATCCAGACATTAGTCATGTGGTCAGCTCTAGGGTGGGAGGAGAGGTGGTAAAGAAATTGAGACAACTCTCCTGCTTCTTCCTCCCCCTTCCCTTCTCCTCCCTTTCCTCCACCACTATCTCCTACACTCTTGTCTTCACAGATCAAAGACTTCTGTTCTCACCACTTAGGAAAGGCCAAGAAACATCTTATGACTGACTATTCCTGAAAATTAGCCACAGCAGTTTATTAGGAACTGTCCCCAAAGACAGAGAAATCTGGTAGCATCAGTTGTAAATTAATCACATTCATGTTTTTAACTGACACAAAATCACAGATATGATCTTAGTAGTTATGAACTCCCTTAACATCTTTATTAGGATGCATATGTACCCAATATTGAATCATTAACATAAGAGCAATTCAGCATCAGCCTTGCCAAAACTTAAGCTGCCTGAGAAAGAGATAAGGCAAACATAGGGCTAAGAAATGAAATTAACTTCATCATGGTTCCAGAGGATACGGGCAGAAGTCTAACTTAGAACCTCCAAAAAGAATATGGAAAGGTCAGCTTATGCTTGGCCCATATGTATCCATAAGCAATGGGATCCAAACCTGTGGTAGGCAGCAGAGCTGCAGGTAGGGGCAATCCCATAGGACAGCCAGGTGGTGGCATTCTTCTGAAATCTTTTTCTTCTTTTGTTGAATGATTCTATTCCCAAACTCTATAAATTGAGATCATATATTAATATATCTTCAATTTTAAATTCCCCATATTTTTGGTGAGGCTTTGCAAAGCCTTACAGGCTTATACAACCTAGCCAAAACTACCTTGCTCCTCTCCACATCTCAGTGGTGATAGAAATCAAGAAAACCCCTAGGAGCTACAGGGTTACTTCTAAAGCTTGGGGTACTCAAGTACTCCACCTTGAGGATCAGTGTCTACCACAGACACAGAACATCTTGGCAGCTGTCTCTATCACACAAATATCAATCAATGACAGGAAGAACAACAATATAGCCCATCAGAGTGTCTTTAACTCAAGCAAACAGGGTGTGGTTGATTCACACTCATAAGTACCACCCACCATCACTGACAGTAAGCTGGGTGACCTAACTTGTTACACACTGTTGGGAAGAGGTAAAGACAGGAGGTATAGCCAAGCAGTACACCAAACCTGCTAGAACATTGCACAGGTAACTCAGGAACAGCAGTCCTCTCCCTGGAATGTTCAAGGATCAATCCTTGAGGACCCAGAGACAGGCTCATAAGCTAGGCCTAGGACCCCCAGGTCCCAATCAAGAGGCCAGATGAGAAGGAATCAGCAAAAGAACTTCAGAAACATGAAAAATCAGAGGAAAAGGACACCCCAAAGGAAAACTATAATTCATTACCAATGGATACCAACAAAATCGAAAAGACTGAAATGATAGATGAAGAATTTCAAATATGGATTATAATGAAGCTCAATGAAATATAAGAGAAAATAGAAACCCAACACAAAGAAATCACAAATGTAGTTCAGGAAATCAATAAAAAATTTACTAAAGAAATTGAATTATTTAAAAAAAAGTAAACAGAACTTCTGAAAATGAAAAATTTATTCAAGGGAATACAAAACACAGTGGGAGATCTTAAGAATAGGCTAGATCAGGCAGAAGAAAGAACCTCAAAACTTAAAGACAACACCTTCAAATTAAGTCAAAGAGAAAGCACTGAGAAACAAAAAGAATGAATAAGACCTATAAGAAATATGGGACTATGTAAAGAGGCCCAACATAAGAATCATAAGCATCCCAGAGGGTGAAGAAGAAAATACACAGGGTTGAAAAACCAATCTGGGGGGATAATTGAAGAAATTTCCTGGCATTGCTAGAAATCTAGATTTCCAGGTTCAAGAGCTCAAAGAACCCCTGTGAGACTCATCTTAAAGAGGCAATCACCATGACACACAGTCATTAGACTGGTGAAAGTAACCATGAAAGAGGCACTCCTACAAGCTATAAGGTGAAAATAGCAGGTAACTTATAAAGGAAAACCCATCAAACTAACTGCAGATTTCTCTATAGAGAACTTACAAGCCAGAAGTGATCAGGGCCCCATTCTCAGTCCTCTCAAACAGAATAATGCCCAGCCTAGAACTCTGTATCCTGCAAACTAAGTTTCTTTATGAGGAAGAAATAAAGTCTTTCTCAGACAAGCAAACACTGAGGGAATTTCTCAAGACCAGACCTGCCCTACAGAAAGTACTTAGAACTACATTATACATGTATCAGTACAATAAACACCCACCAATGTAAAGCCACCCAAAAGCTAAAAGTCAGAGGAAGGATGCCACAATGGCTTAAGAGGTTAAAAAAGCAATAATCATAATTATAATAAAGTTATACTCAACAGGACCAACAAAAATGTGTGCCATTTACTATTTCTTCCAGTAAATGTGATAGCTTGAACTCCCCACTCAAGATACATAGGCTGGCTGAATGGTTAAAAAAATACAAACCAAGTATCTAATATCTACAGGAAATACAACTAACCCACAAGGACTCATTCAGACTCAAGGTGAAGTTATGGAAAACAATATTCCATGTAAATGGAAACCAAAAGAAAGCTGTTGAAGCCATTGTCATATCAGATAACATAGACTTCAAATCAGCAAAGGTAAAGAAAGAGAAAGATGGTCATTATATAATGGCAAAGGGAACAATTCAATGTAAAGTCCTAACAATATTTATGCACCTAACACAGGTGCACCGAGATTCAAAAAGCAAACCCTACTTGATCTAAACAAAATGATAAACAGCAGCATGATAATAGCCAGGGACTTCAACACCTCACCGACAGAGTGGGACAGATCCTCCAAGCAGAAAATAAGCAAAGAAACAGTAGACTTAAGTGATATTCTAGAACAAATGGGCCTTACAGGCATTTATAGAACATTCTACCCCAAAACTACTGAATATACATTATTCTCAGCAGCTCATGGAACATTCTCTAAGAATGATTATATCTTAGACCACAAAAATAGGCTTCAACAAATTTTTAAAAATATAAATTATATCATGTATTTTCTCAGACCACAGTGGAATAAAATTAAAAATCAATTCCAGGCCGGGCGCTGTGGCTCACGCCTGTAATCCTAGCTCTTGGGAGGCCGAGGCGGGCGGATTGCTCAAGGTCAGGAGTTCAAAACCAGCCTGAGCAAGAGCGAGACCCCGTCTCTACTATAAATAGAAAGAAATTAATTGGCCAACTGATAAATATCTAAAAAATTAGCCGGGCATGGTGGCGCATGCCTGTAGTCCCAGCTACCCGGGAGGCTGAGGCAGAAGGATCACTCGAGCCCAGGAGTTTGAGGTTGCTGTGAGCTAGGCTGACGCCACGGCACTCACTCTAAAAAAAAAAAAAAAAATCAATTCCAACAGAAACATTCAACTCTACACAAAGTTATGGAAATACCTGCTGCTGAATAGGTATTGGGTCAAGGGAGAAATTAAGATGGAAATCAAAAGATTCTTTGAAATAAATGACAAAGGGGATACAAGTTATCAAAATCTGTGGGATTCAGCAAAAGTAGTCATAACAGGAAAATCATAGCCACAAATGCCTACATCCAAAAGACAGAAAGATCACAAATCAACAATTTAATGAATCATCTCAAGGAATTAGAAAAGAAATAGCAAACCAATCCCAAACCCAGCAGCAGAAAAAAAAAACCAACTAAGGTCACAGCATAAGTAAATAAAGTTGATAACAAAAGAATTATACAGAAGATTAATGAAACAAAAGAAAAGTCCCTAATAAGCTCAATCAGATATGAAAAAGGAGACATTACAACTGATGCCACAGAAATACAAAATACCATCTCTGAATACTATAAAAATCTCTATGCATATAAACTTGAAAATGTTGAGGAAATAGACAAATTCTTGGAAACATACAACTTCTCTAGGCTCAATCAGGAAGAAATAGAACTCCTGAACAGACCAATATCAAATAACAAAATTGAAGCACCAATACAAAAAATCTCCCAACAAAAAAACTCCTAGACCAGATGGTTTCACAACTAAATTTTACCAGACCTACAAAGAAGAACTGGTATCTATACTATAGAAATTATTTCATAACATAGAGAAAGAAGGAATCCTCCCCAACTTGTTCTACCAAGCAAGTATCACCTTCATACCAAAGCTAGGAAAGGACACAACAATAAAAGAAAACTACAGATCAATATCCCTTATGAATACAGATGGAAAAATTCTCAATAAAATCCTAACAAACCAAATTCAGCTGCATATCAAAAAAATAATCCACCATGATCAAGTGGGCTTCATCCCAGATATGTGAGAATGGTTCAACATATGCAAGTCTATAAATGTGATTCACCACATAAATAGAAGCAAAAACAAAGTTCATATGATCCTCTTAATAGATGCATAAAAAGCATTTGACCAAATTGAAACAAAAAGTTGATTCTTTGAAAAGATGAACAAAATCAACAGGTGTCTCACTAGATTAACCAGAAGCAGAAAAGAAAGGACTCTCATAAACTCAATCGGGAATGAAAAAGGAGAAATAACTTTGATTCAAACTGTACAAAAGCAATTCATGTAACCAAAACATTTGTATCCCATAATATTCTGAATGCATGAATAAATAAATAAATTGCCTTTATTTGGAAAGTGAAACATGGGATATCCAAGGCTATGATAATAGTTTCTAATTGTTTTTTCTCCTGAGAAATATTTGGCATTGTCCTTCTTTTGCTTTGACTATGCCTAACCCTCTCATTTCTTAGTTTAAATACTCTTCTCCAATCTGAGATTATCTTGACAGGCTTGCATACTATAACGAGATGCTGCCTCTTCCTGACAGACCCATGTGTTTTTCATCATAAGCAATGGTATCAAAAAATTTATATTCTTCGTCATTATTTGTGAAGTCAGTGTTTCACTTCCCTTAATTTTCTTTCTATGCCACTCTTGACAAATGCAGGAAGAGTTATGTTTTTTAAATTGCACCTGTAAACTCAAACCTTTCCATTTCTACCTTAGAATTAAAATTTATAAGAAACACATTCTAAATATTTTTCTTGGTGGTATTACTTTATTTGTGTATTAACAGAAGCTTTTTGTGTATTCTTTGTGTATTAACATACATCAACTTTATGGTGTATGTAGAACTTGGTGGTTTGTAATAATCTCCATGCATCTCATGATTTGCCATGGAAACTACTTACAACAGGTGGTCTCCAAATAGCACTATGAAATTTTTTCTGTAGTGATGACATCAAAAATCGTTAATATTCCATAGACAATGAGAAACTTATGCCTCATCAAAAGTTCAGAGTTCATACTTTATGAGAAGAGCCTTATTTAACTCCATAAGCACTGCTGCTGCTTCATTTTTTTCTCTGTGGAATAGCATGTACATTCGTTTTCCTAGATTTTAACTCTAATATTTGTTTTCCTCTATCTCCTCAAGCTGTTTTATAATTTTCTTTTTGTTTCTGTTTTGTGTGTGTTAACACTTTGTCTAGGAGCTCTGCATCCTCCTAAATAAATTGGAGCAACACCAGCCATTCCTCAAGAGCTTTCTCAAAGTTTTGTTGTATTTTTTTCTACTAGGTAATAGTAACATTCATTATATACTTCTATCACATTATGTTTTTATGCTTTCTATATATTTAAGCTTTTAATCTCTTCCAAAAGAGTATATTCTCCCCAGAAGATACTGCTTATTTTTAACTACCACCTTCACCCCCATCACCACCACTACACCTAACATATTCATGACATCAACTAGGAATCCAACAAGAGTTTACTGAATTATAAAACAGAAGAAGAACTGTTCCTTTGGTGGCCATTATTCCTTCAGCTCCAAGTGGATTATAATCCTGTTTCGTAGAACATAACTGCAAATTATTGAATGAAGCCAGTAGAGTTGTGGTTTGAACTCTGAATATCCATTCCTTCAGTCCAAAAGGTGTTAATCTTCTGAGTAATAGAAATTAGCACTGATGTGCATCACCCAGTAAGCCCAAGCTCCTTCAGTAACCACAATAGTGATGGAACAAAACTTTTTATTCACCTCTTCCTGCCTTTCTCTGTATCTCCTATTGCCTCTTGCTTTTAGGATATCAAATTCCTAGGAACACTGTTTTAAAGGTTAACTTCACTACTTTACAATCCCTTGATTCTTCCATTTAGAAGTTTTAAATTTTTAATTTAAGAATAAATTAAGTTCCAAAGTATAAGTAAAGTATATTTATGCCTTATATTTACGTTTTACTATTCCATAATCACAGCGAAATAGAAAATAAAACTATTTATCTTTGTGTAATATTTTGGTGGCTTTACCTTGGTTTTAAATATCTTTAAAAGCTTCATTTATAGTTGTATAACATCAACAGGAAAAAAATATTAAGAGATTCCTAAATGGATCAGAGAAATAGAAGTAAACAGTTACAGTTAGAATTAGAAATCAAATTCCAAGGAATTCATAACTCGATAAATACTAAATATCACCAACATACTGTTCACTGAAAGCTACTCATTGATCTATAAATCTTTACAAAAACTATTCATCTTGAAACCTCCAGGACCTATTGTGGCATCTATTATATAATAAGTTTAATTAACCTATAGACAGTAATGCATCAGATACTGAGGAGAGTTATGACAGAAGAGAAAACATTGACTTATTCTTACGAAATTTGTAGTTTGGCAAAGCTTCAATATATAACAAATGTAATACAAATATTAGAGAATATATATTTATAAGATTGAATATAAAATTAAATTAGTTCTTTATTTAAAATGTACTTAGAACCTTTAATACATTTAAGCATCCTGAGAAAGGTGGCTAGAGTGAGCAGAATTACCCAAAGTTAGTTGACCACAACTTTCTTTCCCGACCTCTCCAAAGGAACATTTATTAACATGTTTCAAATAAGCAATATTCCATTAAGAAAAACCTTTCAGAAATTAAACTAATGTGGTGGCAGTGGCTAAAACAAGATATGACTAATTAGGAAAAGATTCATAGACAGGAGTCCTGAATTGTGTTTTTATTTTGTTTTGTTTTTAGGATTTTTTAATTTCAGCATATTATGGGGGTACAAATGTTTAGGTTATGGATACTGCCCTTGCCCCACCCAAGTCAGAGCTTCAAGCATGTCCATCCCCCAGATGGTGCACACTGCACCCATTATGTGTGTATATACCAATCCTCTCCTTCCCTCTCCCATCTGCCTGACACCTGATGAATGTTATTACTACATATGCATTTAAGTATTGATCAGTTAATACCAATGTATGGTGAGTACATGCGGTGCTCTGGATTGTGTTTTGAAGAAGGATGACATGTTTGGAGAAGATGGAAAAAGGTATGACAAGACTAATACATGTTCTTTAACACTCATTTATAAGGTTGTGAATAATTGAATATGGATTAGCTTAACTTTGGTTTAACAGTAAACCAAAGATGCCAAGAAAGGAATATTTAGGTAGAATTTACTAGAATAGATGAACAACAGTCCCAATTTTTGAAAAAGAGGTTTCACAAAGATTTTCCTTAAGGGTATACTTATATGGATGTGATTAAGGGTTCACAAACTATAAAAATATGAAAATAAATGCAGTTTGTTAACTACACTAAGTAACATGAAGAGAGTACTGTGTCCTGCTGGTCCAAAAGTGGGTTCCATTTCTGTTTGAGGGACTGGGTATCATGTTCCAAAGTGCCCATTTGGATAAGTTGAAATGCATTGGAGCTTTTGTACTTTTTTACTGAAAGGAGGATTACAGAGGTATGTGGGGGTTGAGGATTGAAATGGGGATAGGAAAAGATAGGAGAAAAATTATAAATAATGGGATGTCCTTGGGGTCATTCTGCCAAACAGTTGTAAGAATGGGTTGTGCAACACATGAGGAGGAATAATTAAGTTGAGAGCTAAAGATGCTGTTGGCTAGTAAAACTCTGAGATTATGGGCTCTGGTACCTAAGTACCTAGTTTAAAACTAATATGGAAAAAGGAACATCGCCACCTCTAGACTGAAAGGGTGACATCTGGCGGGGCCTACAGAGCAATGGCCATCAGTGGTAGCCACCCTTGAGATCAGTGGAGTTTACCAGCAGCTACTTTCCACAGGAGGGCATCAGCTGCAGTGGTTATGGTACAGTGCCTCCCTCAAAAGACTTGCTGGTAGTCAGGTAAAAAACATAAGTAGATTTTTTTTTCTTTTACACATATGCGATATCCTGGATACATGCAGAAATAAGTGGTGCAGAAGTCCTACAATCATATATGTAGAGTAAAAGAAACATAATTATTTCATTTTAATGTTAATGAGACTTTATTTGAACTTACAGGTTGGTCACACTTGCTGATATTTATGTCATGTAAAGATATGATGTTTTTTTCTGGGACTTGAAGACACACTTCTGGATTAGGGATTGCAAATGCTAGTATCTACAGGGGATGTGCTATAAACATAAATATTTGCAAGGTGCTAGGTAGCACACAGTAGGTGCAAAACGCTTATATTCTATCAAGCATTACTCTTGTCATGGGATATTACAATCATGGGATATTGGTGATATTAAAACACCATCCAGGTATAATCAGAAGGCTATATAAAGCTAAAAGGCCTCTACTATTTCATCTTTACTCTTGATGCTTCTTTTGATCCTTTAATTGATACTCTAGAATCCAGCTGAAAATACATGATGAATGGATAAATAATAAATACATTTCTTTCCTCACTGGTAGGAGCATGGAAGTGATAAAAATTAAATTACACAGCTTTTCATCAAGAGTTTGATGCTGTATTTCTCCATGAAATGGGTATAGACTACAGAACAAGAATATGACCTAATTAATGCTACAAGGAAAGGTAAGAGGACTTCTGATTCATTTGCAGTATGCCACCATTTAACTAAGAGACTTACGTGCACCAAGATTCCTGCTTCCAACTGTTCACAAAGCTGCAAAACCTTCCAAAATGGCTCTGCATTCTTTTTTCATCCATTCAAAGCTGGAGAAGCTGGAGAGACTGGGCCTGTGAACAGACCACATAATATCTTCCTCATTTCAGCATAACCCTCTTCCCTGGCCCCAATATCCAATGTATAAAACTTCATCCCTGTAGATCCTTTCTATTCTGTCCAAATAGGTCCATACTGAGGGCAATCACCATCCCCAAACGCCCGATTTCAATGCAGGCTGTATTAGCTACAAGTCTATAAAAGTAATTATTGTCAATTTGTTTCCAGTTTGCCTGAATTAATAATGTTAATGATTCCCATCTCATATCCTTCTGTCTATGCTATAATAGTTATTGAAATAAAATCCATGCACAATTAAAAAAAAAGATTGTAGCTTTGAACACATTCTGTCTTCATGACAGAAAAATACTACTACATTTTAGCCTTTATTTTTCTTTTTTTTATTTCAGCATATTATGGGGGTACAAATTTTAAGGTTTCAAATAATGCCCTTATCCCCCTCCCCCACAAGTCTGAGCTTCAAGCGTGACCATCCCCCAGACCTTTTGCCAAAGGATATCAGCATGTTGTTTACAGTAGTGTTAAAAAATCAAGGTGTTTGACACTCATATGTAAGCACAGAGGTTTAAATTTGTATAAAATATTTTGAATTCCATATACAAATAATCATGTATATATAGCATGTTATATCCTTAGAAACATTTAATATTATTATAATATTAATAAATGAGAGAATTGCTATATCCATTGTTAACTCCATCTTTCCTAAATTTACCAAATAAAAATCTTCTTGTAAGAAATCTGATACAGAGAAATTTTTCTTTTTACTTGTGTTTTCTTTCCACAACTGTGAATCCTTAGTGAGAAGAAAATCCTAAGTGTTTAATGGCCTTTTCATGCTTGAAGATTTGCTAAGATTCCTGAAACATATTTTTTTTCCTTAAACATATGGATGTGAAACCAGAAATGCTAACTGATTTCCAAGTTTGAGAATCAAGTAAGCAAAATTTTTGTCCTAGTGATGCTTATTTTAGAGCATCTCCACTCGCATGTCTGGTGGGAGTAGTGAGTGTGGAACTGAGGCCAGCCACATGGAGAATTCTGTGGGTAACTGGAAGGGCCTCAGCCAAGTAATGTTTGGGGAGTTTTGACTTTGCGGGTTGGTTTTATACATCAACCATCTCACGTTACATTCACTAGTCTTGACCCTGATATGAACTCTTTAAAATTGAAGAGTAATTTTAAATAAGTATTTTCCCACTACACAAAGTATTCTGTTAGAACTCTGTAATCACAAACCACTTACTAAAATTGATGTGTTTGCAACTCTTCCCTCATATTGGTTGTTTTTCATTCTCTTAAGTCCCACTACCCTGAGTTATTCAAAAATAACCAACTCAGTACTTATTCAAGAACCTCAAATTATTTTCTTTGTTTTAGCATTTTTTAAGCCATACTTTGCTTTTGAAACTCAAATTATATATTACGTGATCACTAGAATTGGGGAAATAGATTGAGAAGACTAAGATTTAGGGAAATTAAGCAAAGTACTCAAAGTTATATAGTTAGTAAGGGGCAGACTTAAGCTCTGAAACCATGTAGTTGATCTTACTAGTTCTACTACACCGATTTTCTATTGTCTCTTTTTTATAGAATATGTTAATCCATAATATTTAATATAATATTTAATCAAATTGTATATATTATATAAAACTATATAACTATACATATATATGCTTATATAAGCCAGTATTACATAATATATATGAACAATTATATATTATGTTCATATAGTATAACAATATGTGATATAATTTATCAAATGGATAATATAATTTATCAAATGGATAAATTATAGTTCAAAAATTATATAACATAATATTCAAATATATTATATAAGCCATACATGTATAAATATAGTATCTACATTCTAAACAATTAGTATGTTTGTAATAATCTGAAAGTATAAACTCTTGAGCACTAAAGTGCTTCTGTAAGGATAATTATAACACTGTGAGTCAGTGTACTTTAATCACATATCATATGTTGAAAACACTCTCACACCAGACCTATGTAGCACCTCAAATTATGATTACTTCTCCACACAGTTCAGTCTAATAATGACCTTGTCGATTATGCTATTCTAGAAGAACTATGACTAATTATTTCAGGCAATAGTAGGTGAAGAGATAATTTCTAAGGCAGCTTGTCTTGATTACATTGAAAAATTATGATAAGATTTCACTTATTAACTTAGTCATTTTCTTGAGAATGATGTTAAGCCACGGTTTGATAACATGGAAATATAATAACCCACTGGCAAAACAAATGTGTTACTACTTTTTGCTTCTGACAGTGAGCTAATGGTGTGCACCAGAACAGTATACAGGGAAGTAACGTGGGTCTGTTAAAGTCGGATGTTGCCTGTGCTTTACTCGTCACTAAGTATTTTGAATAGTAACCCTTGTTGTATACCTTTATACAGCTTAAATTTTTCTGTTCTTGTGTTAAAGAAGATAAAGCTTTAATAAATAGCTCTAACACTCATGTTTTACGTATTATAAACATTTGGTTAGAAATAGCAGCATGTGTTTTCTTTGTGGGCCCTTTAACTCACTTTCAAAGCACATGAGTTTAACTTAATATTTTGACAGGATCAACTTGTTTCTGCCAGATAAAAGTACATAGTCTGATGAAACATGGCATTGAAATAAAGGAGATTGAAGCAACAACATTTTAAAGAATCAGCTTGAAAAAGGCTGTTCGGTTTTTAACATGCATGCACCAGCATAGATGTACATATATGTGGGTTTGATAAATATACCTGCACTTTCTGTGATAGATGAAAAAGATTAGAAATTGAAATTTCACAGTTTGAAACTTTCCTTATATAAGCTGATGCTTGGATTTTTTTTTTTTTAAGTTGAGATCTTAACTTGCCAGGAATGAGCTCCTTTTTTAAATCTACACCATTCCTTAGTAGTATGGTACCTCAAACAAAAATGTCATTGTTTTCTGCATGGCTTTTGGTGGAGCAGGCTGTCTCATGGGGCTTAATCCAGGAGTGATGCAGGCAGAGTATAGGAAGTAAAACTAATGAGCTCTGGTATGAAAAAATTAAGTGTGAAGCCAAGTTAGCAGTTAGTGAGAAAAATATATATGAAAAAAATATAAGAGCAAGCACAGAAGATATGCAGGCATTAGTTTACTCATAGGTGTGAATATAACTTAAAATGCTTGTGGGGAAAAAAGTGTAAAACAGGGTGTAAAATAAATTAAGCACATGCTTAAAACTGTGATTCCTAAAAGAATTCTCACTAACCAGACTGAGTAGAGGTCATGGGGCTTTATAGATACTGCCCACCCAGAAATGGCATAATTTCCACAGTAGTAACAAGTAATAGTACTCCTTAAAAGGCTATAAGCTACACATCATCATTGGGTTACTGGCTGAGGGAAACTTGTAGTTTCCAGTTAGGCATTTTAATATCTTAAAACTGCTCTGTTTGACTTACCATTGAGCAATGAAGAATCACAGTATTCATTTCATTCCCAAGAGATAGAAAGTATGTCTAAGTGGGAAGACACAGTTTAATTTGCAATCTGGAAGAAGTGTGGGACACATGAAAAAAATGATGAGTAAATACTTGAAATGTTCGAGGATTTTCTCCCCCCCCCCAGTTTAGATTTGCCTTATAATTTTCATTATTAACAAAATCTGTACTTGCTCTTATGCAATTACTTAAATTTTTGGCTGTAAAATAGCTTATAATCCCTTGTGATCAGTGAAAGTCATTGTTTCTTATTTCAGACTCTTCCATCTTAACTTCACCATTCCATACATGTATCTTCTCTCTTTCTTCATTATGAATATTGGAAACATAAATGACTTCTGATAAAAAGTAAAAACTGGATTTCTGGGTTGACTGAATGAGTGACCTCTACGTGAGTTACTTAAATCTACATTTTGCTTCTAAAGACACCTTTCTCCAGTGACAATGATTAAGCAGTTTTCACCATGTGGTCTCCAAGGAACATAGGTTCCATGTCCCCCTTGATCACACGTGGAGGGCTTTCTTTTCCAGTTATCTGTCTACTATATTTTTCTGTCTACATAGAAGAGCAAAATTATCACATGAAAGGGACAGAACTATTTTTAGACTTTTCCACATTAATTTTCTGAAGATCTTCTGTGAGGAAATTCTAGAATGACATAGAACATAACTCTTCTATATGCTTGATGGTGTCCCTCAATCCATCCTTCACAGGGATAGCAGGGTAGCCTCTCTAAAATGGAAGGTGAGGGCTTAAAACTCTCCAGTGATTTCCCCTCTCCTCTTTAGAACAATATCCAGTCTTCTCACTTCAGAGATTATGCACCAACAATACAGTACTAACACACCATGCTGCTTGTGGGTTCCAGGGTTTGGTTCATATGTCTTCTTCCAACTTCCATTATACCTAAGTTCTCATAGTCAGACAGTTCGGTGTCTCCTCCCCAGGAATCCTTCTCTGAAACTGTGTTCTCCCTCCCTGTCTCAGGTGATACTACATTTCATTTTCTCCTGGATGTTCGAATAACCTATGTTGAACACTATCTGTGCTTTTGCCGTGTTGCATTTTAATTATCTGTGTATCTGTCTTCACCATTACGCTGTGATCTGGAGGGCAGAAACTTCATGAGTTCTTTTATTTTTAAATCCAAATATCTAATATTCTAGTAGACACTTAAAAATATTTCTTGAATGAAAAAAAAATAAATATATTGAAAGTAAGCTCAGCTGAACCATCCAAATTTAAAGACGGTTAACTAGAATTCTTAAAGTTTCATGCCTTAGGTTTAAGTCTGTTATCCATTGTGAATTAATTTTTGTTTATAGCGGTATAATTCACAATCACAAAGATGTGGAAACAACCCAAGTACCCATCAATATATGAGTGGATTAATAAAATGTGGTATATGTATCCATGGAGTATTACTCAGCCATTAAATAAAAATGGTGAACTGATACATTTTGTAACAACCTGGATGAAACTGGAGACCAGCCTCCTAAGCAAAGTATCACAAGAATGGAAAAACAAACACCACATGTACTCACTATTAAATTGGAACTAAAAGATCAACACTCATGTGTACATACGGTAGTAAAATTCCATGGAAATCAAGCAGGTGGGTGGCAGGGAGGAAGGAATCGGTAAATTCACACCTGATGGATACAATGCACACTATCTGGGTGATGAACACTTATGACTTTGATTCAAACCGTACAAAAGCAATTCATGTAACCGAAACGTTTGTACCCCCATAAAATTCTGAAAAATAAAACAAAACAAAACAAGAACAAAAACCAAAGAAGAGACAAATTTCTGCATTCTTAAAGCTGAGAGGTTTGTCAAGTTTTCTTCTTCAACCTCAAATTTTCATAGCTATCTTTCCCTCCTACAATTAAAGGATAGGGACAAACAATATACGTGAGGACAGAACATTTTGATTGTTTATAAAGTACCTGAGTAAATGATACCTGATTTGGTGATAGGATTAAAGCAAAAGATGGCTGTTCTTATGATAGTTTTTAGTATCGAAGGGTAAAAGTCTTCATCACATAAAAGTGTAAGGCAAAGGCTGTGCATATATTATACTGCAAAGCAAATAAAACAAAACACATAAATTAAGCAGAAAAATCCCACATCGTGGCACAAATAAAATACTCATGTATCCTCTTTGTGAGATATATATTTTACACATGCATATGTGGGCGTGTGTATGTAAGTATAAGTGTAAAGAATAATAGTTTGAATTAAATTTTAGTATGGGAATGCTAGCAATATCCAAAAATTAAAGTAAGACATGATCAATACCAAATTACATTCCTACTATATGCCTTAAATAATATAATAAAATGCATGGAAGGAAAAATAAATAGAAATACATCAAAATGTTAACAATATTTATCTTTGAGTAAAAGAAATATAGAGTTTTTTCTTCTTTCTGCTTTTCTGTATTTTTCAGTTTAAAAAAAACCTATTCAAATGAAAAACATAACTTCGATTTAAAAAAAGGAGCAAGGTCATGATCTTTGCCTTTCTAGAGTTCCACTTCAAGCTATAACTCTAATCATATACTGTACTTTGCAGGTTTTGAAGTATTTTCATATTTAATATATCATTTGATCTGCACAAGAAAGCAGAGTCCTACAAAATGAAAAACATAGGCTGAAAAATTAAAGAATTTTCTCAAGATTGCCCAGCTATTAAGTGGCAGAGACATTTTTAAAACAAATTCTGTATATATTTTAAGTACCTACTGTTTTGATGAAAAAGAGAATCACAGAACTGTGAAGAGAACATAGTAGGGAGAGCGAAAGCCAGATACAGAGAACAGGGGAGTGCACTGAGGAGGAAGACAAGGAAAAGATCACATTTAATGAGTGTAGACCATGTGCCCCCTGACTTCTAAGCACTTGGTACACATAATGCCTTTAATTTTCTGTGAGATACTTAATAATGCCATGCCCATTTTACAAGTACAGAGAGGCTTAGTAAGTTGGTTGAAGTCACAGAGAGGTAAGAGGCAGAGCAGGGACTCAAACCCAGGCATGGGGCATCGTGACCCATCATCCCAGACTCTCAATCACTTCCCTACACTGCTCCAGCATGAGCCGCAGAAGTCTCCATCTAACAGGCTCCATCGAGTTGCAGCGTTTTCTGAGAGACCCAAAGGACCAGAAGTGAATCAATTTTCAATCCTTTCAGTAAACTACAAATCTATCATTTTCTTAGAATATTAGTCTTAATTCCTTCTGACAGGTGAAAGAAAATCAAAGGATTAATTAGCAAAATGTAGTGTTTTAGCAATCTAATTTTTTAAATCACTACTTTATGGGGAAAAATGCTTTTATTGCATGGAGATATAAATCATCTGGATATATTGATCATAAACTAGATCCAATAGCTAAATATCAACAAACTAAGTAAGAGAATAAAGAATTACCTAATACTGAAACCACAAGATAGAAACACCTTCAACATGCTCATTTTTCTATAAATCCAACATGCCACCTTTGGCTTTCCTTCTGCTGCTCAGAGTTGTAGCTGTGATCATTTTAAATGCAGGCAAGGTAGTAATAAACACACAGTCCTCCGTCCCGGAATTTGTGCAGGTATCCAGGACCCCACTCAGATACCCAAATCCATAGATGTTCCAGTCCCTTGTATAAAATGATGTAGCATTTGGTTTTAACCTACGCACACTCTTCCTAATACTTTAAATAATCTTTGGATTACTCATAATAGCTAATGCAATGTAAATACTATGTATTAATAAATAGTTATGCTATATTGTTTAGGGAATGACAGGAAGAAATTTATACATGTTCAGTATAGATGCAATTATTCTATATTTTCCAAATATTTTCTATCCATGGTTGGTTGAATACAGGGTTACGGGACCCTTACATATGAAAGGCCGTGTGTGTGTAACAGAAATATATTGAGAAAGATTTTTTTAGGAGTCTTGTCTTCTCACACTAAACCAGCAAGTGGAATAGTTTTAATGTTGGACTTTACTAGATTTTGTTGCAAATAAACAGATTTTCTCACCCATGACTACTCATTGAATCAAAAAGACATTTAAGTCTTTGAGCTCTGTAAAACTAGATTTGAATTTAACCACTTAGCCATTCCAGATTATATGACTCTGTTCCTACTGGCTCTAGACCAAGTGAATATAAATGATTATCTATTTCAGTGATACTTGCACATGATACACTTAGTATTAACTAGCATAAGCATAACGCAACTAAACACTAATGCAAATACAAAGTTTCAAGTTTATTTCATTTCCTTTAGGCTTTCTCATAGAATTTTGTGAATTAATTATTAAATATTAGTGTCACTCACTGAGCTTCATTATTCTAGTCTTATCTATTTACTTCCTTTGTCTGGACTGATTTTTCACAGATAGAGACACAATATTAATTGCTTGGCTAGATTTAAAGCTCTTTACCTTTAGGCATTTTCTTTACTAGTCTTTTTTTTTAATCCTTGCAAATTTAGACACCATAGAAAACTGTTATTTCCCTCATAATGGCCTCTTCAGTGTGTTTCACAGTCTTTTGTGGAAAATAATGACATAATGATAGTGTTCTCAGACCTATATTTTCTACTTGATAAACTAGCAATTACATGATTAAAGCATTTTTAGAAACTCACATTAAGTATATGATACTCTAGAAACCAGTCCATCATGTAATTACACAGTCAGGAGAGAAATAATTTACATAACTAAAAACCATCTGAAACAGTATTCATGACCAGTATGTGACTTTGTAATGACTAAATATTTAATAAATATTAAATAATTTTATATATAATGTACCTTCAATGTTATTTAGAACTATAAATTCTGTATTTTATAAATTACGTTTAAACTATTATTTTCTGTCGTTAGTAAAGGAAGCTATGCTAGACTCTACTGGAAATCTGCTAATGTGCTGGATAAATTAAGACAAACCCAGATAAACCTGATGATTTCTCTCCAGAAAACAGAGACAGGCAGGTAATGCCTGGGTATTTTAGCTGTGATGAACACAAATTTTGCTAAAGACTTTACTTAGATATATATTAAAGACAAATTTAACTATTCAATAGATCTTTGTGATTTTCTTAAATATCAAATCGTTACATCAGCAGCATTGTGATGAGTTGGAAGAGATAAAAATATATTCATACACATAATTTTCTTTAAAAACACAAAGGACATTTAACAGGATGTGCAAGGTGTTCAAAGAGCGTGTATTCGGAGGACTCATCCTCAAAAAACTATACTAATAACTCTTTTCATTTTTTTGCTCAACTTTTGGAAAAAACAGTTATCATGTTTTCCTCAGTTCATTAAGGAAGACTGTGGAAAGTTACAGAAGTATAACCAGAACCAACCCTTCCAAGGGATAATCTCACACAATCATGTGGGCAAGTATTGCCTAAAAAAGGAAGCTTGAGTTACATTAAGTAAAAATTATCAAGGAGCCAAAACTTGTGGGTCTTTTTAAGAAAAAAAAAAATATATGTATATTTATATTCGGTTGCAGCTATAAACAATATCTCTGTTAGAATACACAAGAAACCTGTAACAGGGGTTGCCTGTCTGTGGTCATGGTAGAGAAGGATATGTGGAAGTTAAACATGGAGGCAGGGAAGGGAAGAAGACTTTCACAGATACCTATACACTTTTTTGGGTTTTCAATCATTTGAATGTATTACCTACTTGAAAACTATGTTATTCTTAAATTTAAAAAAAAAAGAAAGAGAAAGAGAAGAGTCTTGGTCCTTGTGTGGAGTAGGCACTCTGTGCTACATCAAATATATTCTTATGTTGCCCAGTGATGATGAAGAGTGACAGGCACCACAGTTAGATGACTCTTGTTACTGGTTTATTTCACTACTATGACCACCCCTCAGTGGTATTGGCTTCAGTGTTTTCTACCTCAAGAAAAGTTAAAAAACACACTACATTTTATAGTATAATGATAGCATCATGATGGTAAGGAAACCAGTAATGGCTAACAACTAAGCGCCACCATCCTATATAATGCTTAACAGCCCTCAGTAGTGTCTCAAAACCTCCACCATTCAAAGCACTATTAATACAAGGGCTGAGAATGAAAACAAAGATATCTTACAAAATACACCAATACCACAACAATTTTGCTGATCTCACCAGACTTTTTGGCAATTGTCTGGTTCTTCCAGATCTATGCTTCTAAGTCATTCATTTTGGAACAGGGGAATCATCCACCCTGATATTAGGAAACAAGGTAAAGGAACTGTTAATCTGTCAGTCCCTGTGCAAATTGTAAACATGATGGA